TAAATACACATTCGAGACGAGTGTAGCCACTACATCATCAGTGCAAGAAGAAATCAATCCAAAACTTCACTAACAAACACAGAGCTAGGTATAACCAAAAAAGTATAGATTCTTGTGCCAATGAGAAACTCGGGAAAGGAAAGGTGAGCGCGGCCCACTCCACTAGGGAAATTTTTTTCCAACTCACACGAGGGCACGACCGCCGCGACGTGCTTAGGCGCTGATGTGCCGCGCGGGACTGAGCAACTGGATGCTCGCTCTCGAAGCTTTGAAATCGCCGCCGCGTGCCTCCACGCGAGACGGTGAGAAGCCAGTGGAACACCGCCGGGCTAAACTTGCCTGCGAGGCATCTCGGGTCCAGAAGCAAGCAACAGGTCTCCCCCTTCCTGAAACTCGGCACGCGGGTTGAACGAAAGCCGTCCATGGCGGATCCGCGGCCGAAGGGCAGTGTACAGCGGCGGCACTCGCGCTCTCTGGCGCCGCCGAGCAGAAATCATTCGGCTCCACCGCTCCGCTCGTCCGCCGGAACTCCTCAAAAATCCTAGGCGACGATATGTGATGCATTGATGCAGCGAGCAGAGAGAGACATCATCCTCCGAAACTCCAATTGAACTTGGAACATATTAATTCTTTGTGCAGTACAGTATTTGACGATGAACGCGCAAGGTACCGCAGAAGCAGCGAGGGAGGGTACCTGGAAGCCGTACGCAATCAAAAATTAAGGAGCATCTGGCAACCCCTCGAACGCGGGGAGATGACCAACGAGGTACCCGCGCGCGTGGTATGAGAGCGAGCGGGCGCGAGTTGGCCTGTTGGTTGGGACTCGATGCATTGTTCAAGGACACTACGAATACAGTGTTTTCCTTCTAAAGGACTTCCAAGTCTGACGCTTCACTATACCTACGTAGCTGCTGTCATCTTGGAACACTCACTCTTTACGCAAAATATTAGCAAGGCACTGATCCAACTTTTCAAATTCACCAGGAATGTGTACCTCACACGGACGAGCGTTCCATCAGATCTCCCTTGTCCATTCACCATCAAGAAGGGCTAAAAAAAATTGCTCAACAACGTACTGTACACCTGATGCTTTTATTGTACGAGAGAAAAATTGGGGACGTAATGCGAGACAGAGGCAAACGAGTTCCCGAGCAGGTGAATGCATCTTATAGGTGAGGCCTGCTGTGCAACCAGATCATGTGCGTGGCAAGTATGGCCACTCCATGTAGTCTGCTGTTATAATTTGCTCTGTCAACACCACAAAAGCATAGCGATTCTGGAATACAGATAATTTCACGGAACGCGCGTAAAAAATTTATGTAATATTATTCAGATAATCTGGGCTGATGATTCCTCCACCGCCCGAATACATGTATTCGAATGGCGAGCACAATTATGATGAAATTCAAAAATCAAATAAAGGATTTCACAAGAATAGCCTTTCTAAAGATATTCATTATTATTTTTTAATGCTTATCCGGAATTGATTAGTACAAATAAAGAATTTAGAGCACGTTCTATTGTTCCTTTTCGATGAATCGGAATTTTGGCATCGATAAAAGCCACAGATTAATCGGAATCCTGATCAAAGCATTGAAGTTCTGCTGTAAGTGAAAAACGTTCTGTCTACATGAAAAACGTTCAAATATTTCTCTGGATTCTTGAATTTTTCATTTTACGGGATTCGGAATACAGTACATTTAACCCCGTGTAACGTACTTAATTCGTGCAACTGATAAGTATGTTAGACGAAAATTACGTTAGACGAATTTACTTTCCCCCATATGTTTACATTTCAACAATTTTTTTTGCCTGAAGCACATTAGATGTATCTGGTACATTAGACAGGATGAAAAACCGCCTCCAGCAGATGCGGTACGTTAGATGAAAATCCATTAGTCGGGAGGTACATTAGACGATGGTTGACAGTAAGTACTCCCACGGAATTCTACGATGAGCAAAAATAAGTGACGTGCAGTACATAACATCTGTGCAATATACGTGTATGAACCAAAAGTATGATTTAAAACAAAGGGTGAATGAACTGTCTTGAAAACACGCTTCCAGGAAATCGTCTTCTATTATGATAAATATCACTGGAGGTTTAACGATTTCAAAATCCGAATTCTGACTGAAAAGCTGCTGGCCAGGCCAAAATTGCACCGATTCTCACTCCTTGAGGGTGAGAGGAAAAAATGCGTTGACCTTGAAATCTTTGATTCCTCATTACAGCTTTAATGCTCAAAGCTGCCATAAAGATATTCCGGAAAACATTCCCACACCAAATCTTTTTTTTTCAATTCAATTTTTTAATCCAAGGCTCAGATTAAAAACAAAAACCTCGATGATTTCCTGAGCTATTCACGCACTTAGGTCATTACTGTCTTGCAACACACGAGAAAAGGAAAAGCGAACGATCTCCGGTAAAATTTCGAATCCCGACCGCTTTGACAGCAGCATGATTTGTCTGTAGCAGTCTGTGCTTCTGAAACCGCATGAGGTCAATGGAACGTCACACGTGAGCAGCTCGTAATCGCATGACTCTCAGCGCATAGTAGCCCTTGCAATCGTTGCTGCGATCGAGCTCCAACGAATGACAAACCCCCATCCATAATGCTCCTCGCTACGTGAAAATTACCGGGAGTTGTCGAAGTTGATTTTTCAACTAATGGAGTTCTCTGTGTAATGAAAAAAACGTTATGAGAATTAAATATGCCAAGATCAATGAGAAACCCTAATCATGGAGTTGCTTACATAATTATGATCACCGAATGAAGAAAAGTGGCATCGGACGAAAGGTGCGATGGGATTTTGTGAGGTATGTTAGACACTTTTTGTCGTTTCCGGAATTTTGAGGGTTTTTCGTGAATTTGAAGCTGAAGCGTAATTTTATTTCAATCTTTTTTCATCTGAAATCTTTCGACAATATGAATCTTGATGGATTGTCGCACGGTTACCAATGTCTTCAGTCAAGAGAGGAATTATTTTTTATGGAACCATACTTGAAATCGCCAAATTGGTGATTTGCGGAAGAAACCAAGAAACCAAGCATTCTTTAAATGTGTGTGTCCGCAAGTAACTCTGTGGAAACAACCAAAACAGTTCATTTTAATTTTAAAAATAAATTATCTGCGTCGGAATTATCACAAAAGATCCCGATTTAGGCTTGTGCAGCTCAATTCAATTTTTATCTTTAGGTGCTGTAAAGCGAAACCCTACTAAATGTGTTCTCATACCTCAACTACTTCGTCCAATGCTGTAAAAGCAACGATGCACATACTGGAATCGTAAGAACTCGACCATGTATCGTTCTTAGGCTTAATTGTAGTCGCATCAGAAGAAACTTCGGGAAAAGAACTTCGAAATGTATTTACCTCTGCTGAGCGCAGTACAGTATTGTGGCGAAAATCACACACGGATCATCGCGGAGATTCAGGAGTATCCCATGAACATTTTTTCAAGACTGATTTCCATATACAGTACGGTTACCCTCATACGGACTTCATCAGTTAATCCGGAAATGTTTGTCTTGTCTGCTTCCCTTTTTACACAAATGCCGGCAGATTTAACGTGATAACAGACATGAGAACTGCACTGCATTCACAAAAGTTTTCGAATGAAAATCGAAGGATCGGGAAGCGCTCCATTAATTTAACTTGATCAGGTTCAATATACTGTACAAGTATACGGGCGTGTACTGTATATGAGTGACGTGAGGCATTATTTCCTGCGTCAATAATTTCACGAATCTCATATTCAGCTTTTAAAGGTACTGTATAGTATAAAGGTCCTCATGCTTGCATATTTGCTGTCGCCCTGATCTTAGTACTGTTTTTCTTACCGTGGGACATAATCATACGCATGACTGTCTCTAACACATGCTCCGCCCTGGATGCACAATATATCTGCGCAAAAAAACGTCTTGATGGATGTGCACATCAAGCCAGGAACGTATTCAGCCTAATTCATCAGTCAACAATTATTTTTCTAATAGAAAAACGCAAAATATCGTACTTATTTCTTCTCGGCGGCACACGTTCGTCGGATATTTCAAATGTCAGAACTTAATAAGGGAGGGGTCAACACACTCATCGTCCCAGTATTGGGACAAGCGCACACACGAGGTGCAATAAACGAAAAATGCGAAGAAGGGAAGGAATGAGAATGAAAACATATGGGAGAGGGAGTGCCGCATATTTTCGTGATTCGGGCTACAGTATTTTGAATCGCAAATGCTTGTCAAATGCTGTAGCGTACCGGAATATACTATTGTACCGCTGTTGCTACTTTCCCGAAGCTTGAAATTATTTTTGCTGGTATCCATGACGGAAAAAATCTGCGGTGCAAGACCATAGCGATTCAGTACTTATAACGCTGTCAGTGACAACCCAGTAAGTACCTTCTCTGTAGAAATTCGTTGCAATACGAGCGAAGTACTTCTGGTCGCGGTTGTACGTACGTTCACGATATACGTAAACTGCTCCGCAGCCTGAGTCGCTGTCGCAGCATTGACAGCATGTTTCACGATTTCTAGGAACAGGAGGTGTTCTTTTCCTTTTATCACAAAGTCAATAAGTTGATGAGAATTGAGGTAAAAAATAATTTGAAATTTCTGCGTTGAAATAAATTTTCTTGACAAAGGTTAATAATGGACGACATCAATGAGTGCTACCGGTTGCTTGGGCGAAAACGAAGCGACTGACGCTTCGTTTGGAGTCGGTTCTCCACAATTCTTTGAAAACGAGTACTTCCGAGTTCTAAGTGCACGAGATCCAATTTTCTGCATCTTTCGTTGTTTTTTCGTCTTGCCTACACCGCATTCAACAGTGCTGCTTTCGAAGGAAGAAATAATCGGTTATTGATGCTATTGCCAAGCAAACGCAAATGCACGAGTCGCTCTTCTGAAGCTTCCGCATTCCGTTCACTGTCGACTTCCTTCTAAACTACATGGCAACCCTCAACAGTTACGTCATGCATCATCGTCTGTGTCATCTTCAGATATGAATGGAATGCGCGTGAACTCGGCGCAGACTCATTTTCCATTCCTTCTGCCAGGTATGGGCTTTTTGCTGGTGCCCTACGACACCTAGTGCATAAAAATGCGTTTACTGTTCTGCTTTTCACAAGGTTAACGTATAGATGTCAGCCTCCAAGAAATTCCCTAACTAAACGCATCCATTCTAATCGGTACCATTTTTCGTGGGTTCAAATTCAACTTCAAGCATCTCAATCATGAATGCCTGTGACAAGTAACACGGAATTAAAAACTAGAGTTTGCTTTATTTTTATAATATTCAACTCGTCGTGGCTTGGGAATTTCAATTTGATTGCTTATCTTAAATCTCATTTCTACCAGGCGGGTCACGTATTTTGGTTCCGTAAAATCTTGCGCCGAGAAAGTTCCCCCTTCGTTTCTCGAAAAAGATGCTGAGAAACCATTTAGTCATCGGCTTGACTCAATTTTTACCCAACACTTGAAAATCAATGTAGAATTTTATCAAAATATAAATTTGCCTGACTGTCAGAAGACTGAGACCTGAGAGTGCAGTAAATTTAAAATATTTCGATGAGCAATAACAATTTCATTTTTGAACACGATCTTAATATTGAGAATAAAAATCTGCTATTCGTTCTACCGTATTTGGTGTAAAAAATATGAAGCGAATATGTTTCGAATTTGAATTTAGTGATGAAAAGGCTTCGAAAAGTTTGAGAGACGAGATACGATAGTCGAGTGAATATCTGTTGACGCTTGAACTCAAAATTTGCAGCTATACTGGGTTAATGCAATGCAGTTTTAAGATCAGTCGAGCGTTCTTGTCTTGTTTCTTTTTAGCTTGCTCAGCTTTTCAAAGTAAAATAAAGTTTATAACCGCGGAGGAAAAAATAAAGAAGTCGCATTAACCGCTTCACAGCAACTGCGTTTGTTTCTCGCACGACTTAAAGGCACTCGGTTTTAGGAAAGAAATTCAGTTCATGTCGTTCATGGCGTCATTCTCTGCGAAAGATAGTCGTCAAATTTCTTTCTCAACGATTTTCAAACGTGAATTTTTGGCTTCGTTTAAGGCGTTCTTGAAGACACCACGAGAGCCATGAAGAATTGCTTTCAGATTCAAAGTGAGGATCGATTGTTGGATTCAATTCGTAATCACACCCCGTTGGTGCTCGAGTGTCTAAAACAGTACAGTTCGTTCGTTTCTTTTTTGCCGGCTTAGCAAAATTACTTCTGGGTATTTTGGCAATTTGCCCAATTTTCGAAGCGAGTCAGCACTCCCGCGGTTACGCTACGGAAATCTTCTTGTTTCAAGACGAGGAGTCCTTCTTCGCTGATCCTCCCGCTTCTCTTCGGAAGGACCTAAACTCGACCCTAGCGTATCTAAGAGTCGACGATGTGTGCCTTGGGTATGACTCAAGTAGGATATAAACATAACTTACCTTCGTGCTGATGTTTCTAATACGATTATACTCAGGTAGGAAATATTTCTGGGCAGCAAGGGGAAAAATATAGTTGTACAATTTTCTGACGAATATTGAAAGAACTTCAGAGCCGAAACGTGATCGAAGCACCTGCTTAACCCCAAAACTGACGATGATATTACAGTATAATTTTTTTCAAGGAAAATGATTCGAAAAGACCAAATGATCTCAAACATGTACCTCGTATATTACAAGTACAGTACTGTATATCTTACAATGATGTACGCATCTTTAAAAAACTTCATATCACTTCGATAAGCACTGTAATCTCATTGAAATTTTCAGGGTTTGAAATTCAGTAAAAATTCGGTCGAGTTCAGTCTTAGAGATGCATTACTAATACAGTACATCTTTTCTTGAAGTCCAATACCTGTACTGAACGCTTCTTTCTCAAGATATGAATCAAGATGATATGTTTCCTACTGTAAAGCATATTGCCTCAACACGCTGTTCCGGGGTGGTCACAACAAATACCTGTTTAAAAAAATTTAATGGCTTCCATTATTTTTAGTGGCTACGAGGGAATGAGTTCGCAAAGTGCTTACTGCGCTTACAATGCTGGTCACACCGCTTGCCTTTACAATAAGATAGATGGGACAGCCTGCGGGACAGTTTATGCCCGTAAAGTCACTGCAGCTGAACAAACGGAGATTCTTGACGCGCACAACGCTAAACGGCGGAGGGTTGCGAAAGGAGATGAGACCATCGGCAGTCAACCGGGGGCGCAGAATATGAGAAAATTGGTTTGTAGGAACTCCGATCATAAATATTGTACTTGATATGGAAATGAAGGATAAATTTACCTTAACCTCCTGACGAAGCTCAATTCCTAGTTGGATCACAGCAGACCTCAGACCTCGTGTCAAGGCCGTAGCGGGAAGATGTCGCGCGCTACCCTCCCGCAGATTCGCATGTAAACGCACTCACGGTTAACAAAAGGTGAAAAAGTTCAATTCTAACATTTTCATGCGTCCACCGGCCGATGACAGAAATACGACATCTCCCAGACGATGCGTTGAAGTCAACGCGCATCGAGTACTGACGCAAGTTACTCCTCGTCATGATTTTTGTGACGAGCACGACTTTTTTTGGGGGGGGGGGGGGGGGGGGGAAAAAAACATTCGTGGTTTGTTTTGTTTTTCTTTCCGGCGGNGTGGAGGGGCACAAGAGCATTAGCAACTTGACATAAAAAACTGTATGAATAATTTTCAATAAATTTAGTAGCTAATTATATGCAATTTTAACAGCGAAACGTTTGTCAACATTTAATACGAAGGAAGTAAATTGCGTGCAATGCATCATGACTAACTCACAACACTGCACATGTCAAGAATTGGAGATTTAAGTAATGAATACCCTCTTTCAGACATGGGACAGTGAAGCAGCCTCAATCGCACAACTAATGGTGGATCAATGCAAATACGAGCACGACAGGGTCAGAAATACGAGTGCGTTGAAAAATTAATCACATGTTGAACAAAATTATGAAGTTGCACTAATACTGTTGCTATATCAGTAAAAGGAAGTGTGATATACAATGGACAAAATTTGTTCGCTTCGTGGGGCTCATCGCTTTCAACGACATCCAGCTGGACAGCAGCTGTTGACGCATGGTACAGCGAAGTAAAAGACTGGAGTTCCGCCAACATTAATCCTTATAAGTAAGAAGCTTGTGCAAGCAATTCATGGTACAGTATGCATTTGAAATTAAACTTACTCTTATGACTCTGAACAGATTCGCAAGTGCAACCGGGCATTATACGCAAGTAGTCTGGGCCACTACTGAGCGGGTCGGTTGTGGAGCTATCGTGTACCAGGCTCCAGGCTCATCGAGTTACACCAAGTTGTACGCTTGCAACTACGCTCCTGCCGGAAATTGGGAAGGAAGTGCGATGTACATTCAAGGAACTGCTTGTAATCAATGTCCAGCGACAACTACCTGTGTGATGGATTCGTTGTGTGGCTAATATAGTTAAGCTCGTGGACTAACAATTGTTTATTGCTGTCGCTTAAATTAAACAACAACACATTATGCTTGAATTATTGATTATCGAGCTGCAGAAAGAAAACGAAATAAAGAGGAGTTATTCCGAACTGGAATGATTTCCTTCGGAGAGCCTGAAATAATTGTTAGGGAGAAAACGCTTCTCTCCCTTTCTGCGTGAGTCTCTTGAAAATATTCCTCGGATCCGACGGATATTTTGAAAAAACTGATGTTAACTTTACCTTTTCAGACAGACGTTCGGATCGATAGTGAAAAATAATCTACTTTGGGACTTTATCCCAAATATTTCTGATACACGGCCTGGACATTGCTTGCAAGAATACAGTTCGTGACAGACGGCTTCACCGAAAACTATTTCTAACTTCATCATGCATCGACACGAGCCTTCCCCGGCTCTCCCGTTGAGAGTTCTGCCATTAAAAGTCAACGAATTTTCACATTCCTAAAAATATCCATTCACGGCAGAGCGTAGATTAGAAATTTTATGCCAAGTTTTTCTTCCGCGCAATAAACATAAAAATCATACAGTGCAGGTAATCGATAACCCGACTTGCGTTCCAAGTCAAATAGTAAAATTTACTCGAGTTTTCGAATTTTTTTCAGTCCACACTTCTCTTCTTTATACATTTTTTTCGATGAACTTTTTCGTTATTTCACCAAGCGTTAATGCGTTAATGTTCGACGCGGCATGGCATGGATTTCCATAGTCCGTGTTTGTTGATACAGTATATGATGATATACTGTATACAGTATACAGTATATGTTGATACAGTATATGATATATAATATTAACAAAACTCGTTTCTAAATTTTTAAGCAATTTTGGGTATTAGTCCACACCTCTCTTCTTCTTGGATTCTGTCGATTCCATCGAATGAAATGCAAACTTTCATTGCATAACTTTTTAGACCCAGGATTTTTTGAATCAAATATTATCTTGATCTCAAATACTTCAAGCAAAAAGTTAAGGTTCTAAACCGTGAAAACATTGCTTTAAAATGCTTAATGATTTGTTCACCTGAATTTTGGACGGTTTTTCATGAAATATTTTGGTCTGAAACCAATTTTTCCCTGGCGAACCGAAAAACGCCATCTAATGTGAGACACCATTACTGTAATACATTATTGAATGTGATACACGGATATTCATAAGAAAATGCTTCTGATATTCGAGAAAACGCAATACTGTACTGTATATCAAGCGCGCTTTGAGCAATGAATGATAAATTGTTGCATTGATATTAAATGAATCTACCCTTGAGAAAAAGTCAAAGATTAAACTTATCCGTCAAACAATAAAATACTAGCACATCACTATATTATTTCCCCCAGACTTGAAGAAAAAAGTCACATGTTGCGCCGAACAATGCATTTGTTTTCTATCGCCGCGATTGCTTGAAATTCATAACCGTTATCTCAGACCTTGTGGAGTGGTTCTTTTTTATTCCTTGATTCGATCAGGCTTCACAACTCCTAGGATCCATTCTTCGATGTCCTCAAAAAGCGGCTCCGGTTGCCGACGTGCTATTGTCAAACCTCGTCTACGATAAGTCACCGCCAGTACTTAAATCAACGTTGCGGTGGCGCGATATGGAGATAGCCTCTTGCATTGATTCCGAGTCCACAAAAGGGTCACAACACTACGCCCCATTATCGCTAGCTCGAAGTCTTACCAAAAAGGTCACGTGACTTCCTCGGGTATATATATCGCAATCATCAAAAGCATAAAATTCAAGCGAATGCGAAATTGTACGAAGGGCTAACCGAACTGCGCAACAAGCGGATCGCCTTATTGTTGGATTATGGCCACGGTGAGCCACGCCTAAGATTCTCTCAGCAAATTGAACTCAATGAATGACTTTCATAGTCAGTAGGAAAGAAAGAAAAATCTGTCTCTAAAGTTATCATCAGTCTTCTTATGTCTGACGGCTGAATAAAACTGGAGTCCAGACACTAGCTGCGTTCGAACTGTAAATGATATTCCATGCTGGTACAAGAAGATGCGTATCATCTTACTGTGGAAATTGTCTAGGTGACGTTCGAATAATTTTTCTCGTGTTTATGTTAAACCTCTGACGGTCTGGTAGATTTATCGGGCGACTTCACTGGCATTGTCAAGTTCGCTGCATGCCAGTTTCATGAAAAAAAAACGAACCCACAAAAATTACTCCGGGTACAGAAACAAACTTCAAAATACTAAAATGCTATGGACTAGTTCTCATATCGTAAAACGATGCCATTTCCTCACAAGAAACGTTTCAACTCGTGTTTACATGCATTACTCCGGGTGCATGGATGGAAAAACTAGGATTTTCCTTCCGCGTCAAAAAATTCTTGCGATAAAATCGCAGGATTTCAAACAATTCCCCCTTCCCCCAGTCTTGATCCGTTTGTCGACTCAGTGAGATTACACAGAAGGAGTCAAATGAAGAGATGTTGAAGGCATGGAAGAAGGAAGTTGATCGATGTCAAATGCGGTTTCGCTTCTGCTTCTTTTTTTCATAATTCAACCAGCAGATCGGGCCGTTTTTCATTTGTGACGGCGGAAGAGGTATATAAATTTGAATGTTGCCTAGTACTAGACAGAGTTCGATTTTGTGATATCACGTTCGTCCATGAAAAGAGGAGAGTTAAAATTTTATTTTTTAACTAGGAAATAAGACTGGGGTTGAACAAGTAAGCCAATGCATGACAGCTTTGTGATTAACTTTCTTTCAGTGGTGAAAGGTTCCACCGTTTTTCCTTCGGTGTGAGGAGAAAAGCGCCCAGACGAAATGCACGCAGCAGGAAAAAAAAAAACCTGCAAAAAGCACCTCCACAATAAAATATGTAACAAAATCCTTCAAAAGAGATCGATCCGGGATTTAATCATTAAAATACTGTACATGATGCAAGGAGCATGAAATCTTAATCTACCTGGAAAATCGTGGGAAACTTTTTATTGAGGAAAAACAAGCTTCAGAAAAATCCAACGAAGACAATAAATAAACCCAGCAAAACAAATAGTTCTTGATCAACTTTTGAATTATTGCTTTTATCGTGGTGCGTTCTTTTTGTCGAGGGCTTTTCTCGCGGGAGCTTTCGGTGAAGATGCTTTTCCGTCTGGGGGATTTTCTCCTGAGTCTTGAGACGGTTCCTATGAGGCAGTCTGAGTGACGGACGTTTTACCCGGAATAAATTCCGTTCCAGTTGTGTGTGCTCCGAAAACGAATGCGGAGTAGTATGGGAATCGGTCCCACATTGCTCGGTAAGCCGAAGTCGACGAGTTACGATGCTTTTCTAGTCACAACCTGGCTCCGCGAGATAAGAGCTGCAGAAGAAAACAAGTCGTCACTCAGTGTCGTGCAATGCAGTCGTGCATTCCACGCGCCAGACATGTAGGTGCAACGACGAGATTCGGAAGTCTCCCGTCGACACTGCCATCTTACCATCTTAACCGCATCTCCAGCAGCCGCTAACACGGGGGATGACAACACGCCGGGGGAGAAAAGCTTCAGTTTCTCGGCAGCGGTCTAGGCGGACGTGCGAGCTTCTCACGCCCATATTCCGCAAACCAGCTTTGACCCGGGGGAACCGCGATCTCGGTTATACCGTTCTTGACAGCCCACCGATTCTTGCTCCCAACAAACTGGGGAATAAGCTGCTGTTTAAACTGATCATTGGCTGGTGAATTCCTGCTCGTTCAAGTGCTGATTCCCCATATGTGACGTGATGTGCCCGATCATTCCCCTCCAAATCGTACCTACGAAGAATACCTGATCCTCGCCGAATTCTTCCGTGTGCGGTGGTTTCCTCGTTCGAAAAACAATAATTTCGGGAATTTTACCTTGCATCCTGCATCCAAAAAAATGTACGTTTGCTGACATGATTAAGGAAGTACAGTATATGTCGCAGCATGCATCAAACACATTGACTGTAAATGTGAACACGAGTGGCTAAAAATGTATTGTGCTCAGCTCCGCTTGTCAAATAAGAGGATAGATCTTCCGTTAATCACCATTCGCCCTTTGAACAAAGCGTTGACAAAATATTCGATTTAAAAAATAGCGCGATTTATCCAAGTAGTCGGAAAAATTCCGATGCAAGTTCGATTTATTCAACTTTCATTTTGAGAAAATTAAATGCAAATTCTAACCACTGAATATGCAATTTAATAGAACACGGAACGACTCGGACCTGTAGAAGGGCGCGATTCCGTGTAAGAAAGATAAAAGCTTCGAGAAAATTCTAAATCTAAAATCAAAGCAAAGAAACAGAAACTGGACGGAACTTTACAACCGGCACCGGTCCTGACTTTACTGCAATCCTAGTACTGTAAATGCGTTTCCTTACGATCATGGGATGAATCTGACTGAAGCCTCGGCATGCGAGACTGTGGGTGGCCTGGGAATATATGATCTTCCACGCACATTAATTGACAAAATAACAGACACCTTTCTCCGAAATCAGTTTTACGGATTCTCGGAAGCAGCGAATATATTCAAGTCCGAACCCCGTTCTAACTTGACGGGTGTATTCTCAGCATGAATTTCCCGGTTGCCACTCGTCTTGTTGATTTCCAATTTTGCAACAGAGCAAGGGGAAGATACGACAGCCAGCATGATTGCTATTTCACTCATATCTCAACAACAGATGAGTCAGAAACATGATCGCAGAGAGTTTCGAGCATAAGTTGGGTTTAAAGTGAAGTGCCAGAATCCGTCGAGATTTTAGATTTGATGCGTGAACAATAACTTGGCGCAGGACGCGGAGATTGAAAAATTGTCTGCTAGACTTGAGCACGATCTCATCTCGTGCATCATCTCGGTGTGATCATCAAAACGGCAGATCTGACCACAACTTCGGAAGATTGCATTCAACAAACCCGTGAAGCAATCGTGTGAGAGAAAAAAAAGGCAAGATAGTGGTTTTCTACTTATTTGAATTTGTTCCATGCGGGAGAGAGGCAAAACCTCGAAAAAGGCAATCACGAGCCCCAGCGGGGAGTTAGCTGGAGACGCAATTCGCTTTACCAAAATTATAAATGAAAACATGCAGTGATTTTTTTCTTCGGTTCGCGCGCAAAAAGAAAGAAGACGATATCGCAGCGACTCTCCATCGCGTCTGTATAAGGGAGTTGAGTGTGAACCACGTGTGGTTAGATAGAGTTTAAACACCAGAAACCTGCATATCATCGAGACTCCAACGGAGTGCCTCAGGAGCACGTTCAATTCGTGAGCTACCTTCAGCTTTAACTGTTCACCTGCAATGGGTTTACAAAAAGTATGAGGTATACGATCTCTTAAAGGTATACAAATATTAAACCGGAAGTGATGCAGTACTGTACCGTAACTCCGACCATGTAGACTTCCTTTAACTTTGCCCAAATTTCGACATGAAATATTGAGTCATGGTTAGCTTCTAATTTCAACATATGAGTTGCTTTATTTCGCGCGAAACGACTTATATCCGTGCTGTAATTATACACTCCCAGATATATGCGGGACCGTTGACTATAAATTACTTCTGAGCACCCTTTAAAAACTGTCAATAACATAATTAAATATCAGATTATCCTGACAACTGAACTCGATGATTTTCACAGATAATCGGATTCTATTGCATTTCATGCTCTCGTATCCTTCGGTGTATGAAACATGAATAATTGATCTTGGGAAAATCGGGTTTGCGGCTGACGAAATTGTGTGGTTTTCTAGTTGCGAAATTAGTCAGTTTCAATTTGTTTTCGTTGACTTTTCGCTTATCATGAATCATAGGGCTGTATTTTCTTATTGAACGAAAACCATTTGCTTGAATGACCTGGAAGAACAAAGAAGACTGCCTGGCACTAATTACTGTAGTCAGACTGGGATTAACTTCTTAATCTCGTCGACTGACAATTGGATCTCTTCGTTATTCGTGGAGTCTGCTTGTTGATAGACAACGCGTGAGTTTCCTGCAGTATAATATGATGTCCTGAGTATGCGTTTAATTCATTCAGAATTCAAACCTGGACAAAAGTTGAGTACAGTACTGCACTCGCTTATCTACGAAAGCTATTCATGGATTTGTTAACCTTGTGTGTTGAACATAAATGCGTTTAGATTTTATCATTCCATGTCGAATGCACACAGTTCCCGAACAACGTATGTATAATGTAGAGGAGCAATTTGAGTACCTTTCCGGGAAATCACAGGAAAAATGCGCAGGACAGTATTAGAAAAGTCAATCCTAACCGAAGCACTGTAAATTGCCCTCATTGCTGAATGACGGAGAAATTCCTGTCCTGAATTGCGTTCCACGCGGTTGGGAATGATCTGTACTAGGCTTATTTACTTTTCCTGTTGGTGCATCCTCAAGTGCAACCCCAACAAGATGTCCACCCCAGAAAAATACCGACATTATAAAATTAGATTGCATGCTCTTCTTTTTCTGAGTGTCTTGCTTAAGTTATTTTGCAGCTGCACGAAATTATTTTTCAGCATTGGTCTGTAAACTCTTGCCAATAACCCAATTTTACGCAACCTGATCTGAACGAATTCATTTTTTGCATTGCATTCTTTTTTCGAATGAAAGCCCGCTTTTGTTATGCGTTATAGTGCGAAGCTCAGATGATTAACGAGTAAATTACATAAGATGACCATTTCAGTTAATCATCGATTTTTTTCAAATTTTAGCTAATGTTTCATTTATTAACGAACGACAACACTTTTGTTGGTGTATGCAACAGAGGAATTGCGGTTCACTTGGTACCTTCCGGGTTATTCTGGGAATAAAGTAAATAATTAAGTACATTTTCCTTCCTGAATTTCCTTTCACGGCCTTCAGGTCAATGTGATAGCCAAGATGGTTTGAGCTTTTTGTATTTTTAAACCAGAATGCAAAAGTTATCTTACGTCGACCGTGTCTTGATGGCCTTCTAAAAGTATCTACGATTAATTTAGGTTCAGTTTCCGCTCAAATACTCACATTTGAACATGTATTGAAGTACAATAGTTCACAATTTAAATGTTCGGAAGTACCATCTGCTCGTTGGAATTCTGTTAGAAAATGTTTTGCAAAGTTATCGATTTTCTGTTGTAGTTCACAGTGTCTGCTCATCGCATCTACAACACTGTGAAGTTGGGCCTTATTTTGAACATATTGAATGAGCCTCGGATTTTACACGTTTATTAATTCAATAATATATTGAACCATTCTTCAAGTATTCCTGTGAAAATAACCGGTTTACTCTCTCATGTTCCATCGCATAGAAAAAGTTGACTTCTGACAATTGTTACGGAGAACAGCAAAACGCGGAATTTTCAAAACGATTGCGTCAATCAGAATGGTTTGTTGGTGCTGGAACTTGATTTTTGATTATGTTATTCTTTTTTTTATTGTACATTTAATTTCGAAATTTCTTATATATTTCCTAATATAAGCGACGATCTTTCCTTTTTGAATTATTTGAAGGTATAGAAAACTAAATATTTCATGAAACTTGTTGAACATCTAAAAGGTCTCTTTTGTATGTTTTTATTTCGCAGATAGGAAGTACCGGCGGGAGACCTATACTAAATGCAAAAAACGCATGAAATCTCAAATAATTACCGGAGGCCTTGGGATAATTGGGTGCGATGGTTGTTGACTCGATTCGGACTTGAAATGTTGTGCTTGGTCGGTGAAATTCCGGAATGCTTTGGGATATTGATTCGTCAATTCAAACTGAGTAGATTATAGACTTCGTCTGCTAATTTTGGAAACGATGGATGGATGATGTGGTGTGGATTCAGTGCCTATGCAAGAATAAATCTACATGGCACTCTTGGACAAAATAATAAGACGTTACAGTACTGTACATGCGCGAGATGGAAAAGATTAAACTCCCGAGTTTTCCAGTTTCAGAGAAAAGGGTTGAAAATCACGCGCAACGTTCGGCAAACACGAAATGCAAGTTTCTGTGCCTCAGTACGCTCCTCAAGAAATTGCTCAGCATTGAATGAATAAATATTTGACAGTCGCTCCGCAGACGTACGCACATTTTGTTTGAACAGGAATCTCGGCTAGCAAACGTTTTCGTGACTTCATCGCGGGTATAAAGAGAGGAAATACATCTTCCAGGTTTCCAGAATAAACAAATGAAAGAAAGGCCCATCACTTTCCATCCTCCCTGTCCTAGTTCCCCTTAGTGAATTTTGTTTCAACACTTTTTGCGTAGCCAGTCATCGCTGGATTATTTCATTCGTCTCGTTTCCCATCGTCCTGACGTGTGCAGATGCGAACTGTCAGCAGACTCAGCACAAGTGATGAGCAATTTTTCGTTTCATAAATTCAACATTCTTTCTATTTCCTTCGGAAATAGAACACGTTTCGAATGCTTCTCGTGGCCGACACATGTGCGGAGTAAGGATTTATGGAGTTAATCTTGAAGGCAGTAAACAGCTCACGACTAGACATAATTATATATTATTTATGTTCCACGCGCGACAGCGGAAATAGTGTCGGAATCTAACGTCAGTATAATCGGATATTATTCAAACAGCATGATGAAACTCGTTTCGACCAGAATCGTGGGTAAATAATGCTGGTGAATATGCTTAGCTGTGACAGTTCGGGACTTGCCGTATACACAGCTACGTGAATGCGACTCGCAGGTTTTGCTTACTATTCCCCCAGGCGCTCTACCCAGTTATGGCACAGAAAAGGTGTGTTTGGGTGCTGCTGATGGTCTCCGTCGTGATTCTGGACGCGGGCTCGAGTGCGAAATCGACGCGGGACGGACAAGACGACGCCGGGAACTCAGGTTTCCTGTCCAGCGATTTGTTCGACTCGGATGTCGGCGAATCCGCTGACGACTGGATCCCGAACAGTTACCCGCTGAGCGAGAACCGGCTCATCGTGTCGAGCAGCGGACGCGTGGACCCGCTGTCGCCCATCAACCACATCGACACGTGCGTGTCCATCCCGAAGAACATGAGCCTGTGTCACGGGATGGAGTACTCGAAAATGCGATTGCCGAACCTGCTGGGTCACGACTCGATGGCCGAAGTGATCCAGCAGTCCGCGTCGTGGATCCCGTTGCCCAACACGGGATGTCATCCCGACACTCGTCAGTTCCTCTGCTCCTTGTTCACGCCGGTGTGTCTGGACCAGGGTCTGGACAGGCCGATTTACCCGTGCCGGAGCTTGTGTGAAGCCGTGCAGGCCGGCTGCGAAGGCCGGATGAGAACGTACGGGTTCAGTTGGCCCGAGATGTTGAACTGCTCCAAGTACCCCGTAGACAATGATATGTGCATACCGCCATTGACGCCGACGGTCAAAGAACCCCGTCAAGGTTAGTCTTGTCAGGTGGTGACATCGATGATATACACTGACCAGAATTTCTGAAACAGTCTGGGGCGTTTGTTTCTCGCTTCGCCCGCGCCTAGATCTGTCGCGACACGAACACGCAGATCCAGGGCTTGCCTTTTTTCATTACCCTTCTGTTCGAAAGAAACCTGACGTTGCCGCGACAGCGAGGATGGATGACGAACCGCGTCAACTGCTCGCATTTTCCGGCCCGGAATAACGTGGTCGTCGATCTTACTTGGGACGTAGTTTCTCGAACAGTTGATACACAGACGCATTGGGGCTCGGGCTGCATTTACTTACGGAAAGCTCTGCCGTCGGAAGCAATTAGTTCAATACATTAATGTCACTCACGCATTCCGATCTCCCACCAAGACAGAGTACATGTTCAGCGTTGGAAGGAAATAACATTACATCTTTCAAGGCGCGCCTTTCGCGGAGTTTACAATGGGGATGACACATGTCTATAGAAGTGGATGTTGGGATCCGTCAGGATGCGGGTTTTTCATGTGTGGCACAATGTAGCATTATCTCACGGCGATCTTCGTCACAATATATTTTCAGGGCGATTGCTTAATTTTTGAACTCGAGATTTCACTTGCGTTTGGCTCAAAAATGATCAAATGCCACAAACACACATGACACACTTTTTTTTTAATCCATCAAGCCAGTTTTGATAATTTCCTATGAAAATTAGATGAATATAATATAGTGCAACTTTTTAAAAGCACTCTTGTGTTCGGGGAGCATTTTTTCGAATCATCGAATAATTCAGCAGAAATTTCATATCAACGTCCGGATTTCTAAAAAAAAGATGGTTTAAATTTTCCCTTGAATGGTGTCAAATAGTGCATACAGTACTTGATTCACTCCAAAAAAATTTGCAGGAAGAATAATTTATTCTTTGAGAATCACTGTTTCGTTGGAATTTTATGGATGATTTTTGTTTAAAATGAAAATCCATAATTTGCAGGAATCTGCACGACCTGCAATCAGGTGGAAACCGTCGAAAATATCGTCGACAATTTCTGCCGAGCTGATTTCGGTGAGTCCCGTCGATGAACTCACGGGCGCACATCTCTAACTTTTTTATGCATTTCCAGCGGTCAAAACGAAAATACGCAAACTGAGAAAAGGCAATTTGATCTGCAAGAAAACCAAGATTTTCAAGCCCTCCAGGCTAACCAGACGTGATCTGGACGCAATGCGCCGGCCTCGATTCGCTCTTGTCCAAGGGCCTCACGAACCTACATTGGTCGGAGATCATCTGGAATGTTGTGGGCATCTCCGCCTTCAAGACAAGAATAGGAGGTACCTAATCATGGGCATAAAGCGTGACGACAAGCTCATCCCAACATTCATCATGCCTTGGAAGAAGAAATCTAAGGTGAGCGTTCACGATATATACGAATTGATCGGGCTTGTCGATCGTCCGAACTCTTCACTTGGATTCCAAAGTTAGATCGTATATACAGTACTGTACAGTATTTTTCAGCATTTCTCTTTCGTCAGTCGATAACTCGATCGTTTTAGATTTATCCTGTTTCTCTTTCGTCGGATAGATTGTCCGTCACCGCGCCATATAATACAGTATTTAAACGAACTTTGAAAATCCCCAAGAAGCAGGAAACGTCGTCGTAATTTTGTTAGAAGTAAAGAAACGCAATAAAATCGAGGACGCAAATACGCGGGAAACATACGATACTTATTCCTCTGAATCACTGGATAAGGGCCAAATCATAATTTATTAGATTAATTTGTTCTGTTGTCAACACTTGAGATGACATATATGGTGAAATCAGCTGTCATTAGAAAAGTCCCTCAAGTGAGTCACGCAAGCTCGTGAATATTTTCATGTGATTTTATTCTCATGGGTAAGAATGAGAGGGATTCACCTTGAGAAATTTTCTGTCGAAAATATTTCTGCGGGCACAACAATCACTATAATACTGAGCTCTATATTTATACAGTAAAGTATAACATCCCAACGAGTATAGTACTACAGACAGAATGTTTTTCTTCGACAGCCCAAATTTTTTCGCGGCTCAAGCATCTTCTAATTGGTCGCTGCCCAAAATCAATTGCCATATAGAATCTGGGGTATATTCATTCTGTTTCGAAGATGCGCCTATATTAAAAACCGATTCAATTCTTATGTCTGCCTACTTCCCGTTACAGGCTTTTCGTGGGGCAGTGAAAATGTTTAAAACTCTGAAGTGCGATGATCCGAAGCTCGTGTCGTATTCAATGATGTCGCGGCAAGGAAATGCAGCAGCCGCAGCAGCAGCAGCCAGCAAAAAGAGATCACAGGACAGTCGAAGCCGACAGAACAACCGTGGAGGACGATCAACACTTGCCTCTCAACGGAAAGCTGGGACAGGAAGTCCGGTCCAGGAAGCCATCAAAGATAACACGGATGTCAGGAATCTTTGAACTACCCGAATAACAACACGAAAACCTAAGAAGACTGGATACCTGAACTTTGTCGCAGGTCTCAATCAATTATTGTGGCGCGCTTGGCGATTTTTTTTTCTGTTTCGCGTGTTTGTCCTTTTGTAAGTCTTAAAACACGGTCTCGACTGCATAAAAATATGCCTTCAGGTTTCCCTATAAAGCACCAGCTAGAAATGTGCCAAAATTGCGGCGATTACCGTTTAATTTTCGATTTTATTTCTCAGCTTCTCGCCACAGTTCATTTTATTCCCATGGTTTATTATGACGGTGGTATCGTTATGATGAGTTGCATCTCAATTATACAATCTTCGCGTTGTATTTTTTTTATAAATAAAATGCCTTACTTCACAAGGATTAACAGTATTAAATCGCGTCCATCTCGGTACGTTGCATTTGAAAATAACATAATTATCAGATTTTCGTGAACCAAAGATTTTGTTCAGTTGATCAGCAGTTCGTCACTCGTCAATATAATGCGTGTATACTAAGTCGAACCGCTAAAAATATTATTCTTATTGCGGATGAATTTTTTGTCGCATAATGCAATGAGTCAGCTTGTGTACAGGTATAAGTGTGCGTGTTGGAAATACATGATCTAGACTGCAGGTTACTGCCTAGATTTCAAAATTGTGCAATAAATGTTCCTATTTCTATTTTATTCCGAGCTTCGTCCGTTTTGAGCCCTTTAAACCCGCAAAATAGAGCGACACCTAGGGGAACATTATATATTAAAGCCATGAAGTTAGTAGATGAGGCCTATAGTGAGTGCGTCTATTCGTTTCCTACCTCTCGTTCGTAGCAGCTATAGCAAAATGTCGTTGTCGTCGTTGTGAAGCTCTGATGAGTTGTCCAAAGGCAGAGCCTCGTCAAAAAGTTCGCCGATGCGTCACACTCCGTTTAGCAGCGACGGATGAAATGATCGTCGTTTCCCGACTGGAAAGCACACGTACTTTCAGGATTTGCGTTGAAAATTTAATTTTCCAAATGCAAGTACGTACTCGCGGAGCATTTACTCGAGCAATAATTTTCAGAAGTTCCTTATCGCGCGTGGGAAATTCAGTCTTGGAGCTTACCTGTCCTATCAATTCGGATAAGTGATTGCAGAGCGATTTATTCCAATTTACTTTCGCTTATAACCGCGGGTAACGCATTCATGATTGGCAAAAAATTTTCGTTTACAGTCTTAGCATAACGCGTGTAACTAATTTTTCCTCCATCGTTGATAGAATTCGGTCTTGGAAAATGCATCATTCCGTCGCTGAGAATGGCGGGTTTTTCCTCCTGGTTTTGGTAATGCCTATTTTTCGATTTAATAACCATGGAATGATTGCCTTTAAATGTTTCCAAAATTCCAACAGTGCATCGTCGGAGGCGTAGTTTCTTCGCAAGGGAATAAATTGAAAATGCTGGATATCCCTGAAATTGGCTCAGTTGCGGTGTTGTACGAAGCACAATTGATAACTGGAGAGGGGCCTTTCTGGAAGGAAGACGAGCAGGTCCTGCACTTCGTCGACATTCCTGGTCGCTCGATTTTTCGGCATGATCCCGCAACAGAAATAACCACTAAAGCAACCTACGGTGAGTGTCACATTGATGCACATTCTCGTAAATGTAACAAGAGTCAAATTTGTATCGTATTAGAATATTTTCAAGTTTACTATAATTGTGCGTCGAAAAGCATCGAGTTGGAAGATGTCGGTGCACTATAGGACTTCGATTAACCAGGATATATGTAAAACAAATGTTTGTTAAAACAAAGTGGTCCAGTTAATTTTTGGAAAATACTGCTGATTTCTCTCTCATCGTAAATTTTTCGTGGACATGTCATGCTTTAAAATATTTGAATTTGTTTGGAGTTGAATTTATCGCTATAAAATGTTTCTTCTTATTCTTTCATAATCTGGGATTAAAGTGTGATTGATTAACGCATCTGAAGATTTCCGAAAATTTTAGTACAATAAACGTTATCGTTCTGGACAGTGTTATTGGTTTACTTCTTGTTTCAAGAAATGTTGCTCTAGAATTAAAAACGTTTCCTCTTTCAACTATTCAAAGCAAACTTGTCATCCAAAATTTCTAAATTTTCACCTGGGAGTCATGGGAGAAATATACAGTAATATCCTACGCAAAAAGTCAATTCTTGAACTCTCCAGACAAATTTTCAGCATGCAGTGAAATGAGTGAAAAATTCTGGCTATACCCACAAAGGTTTCCCCTCAATATTTCATTCCCTGAAAAAATCTTCGAAATCTGGACAAAGCAAATGCCTAGAGCACCATAGTGGAAACTATTTTGAAACTTTTAAGGTAGGCCGTCGGATATGTGTAGAACTATGGACATCATTGGGATGATAACCCTTGTGTATTGGTCATTCTATATCATCCAGGAATACTGTATTTGTGTCATAAACGACTCCGCAAGCAGAATCAATAAAACGTATGTGGCGAATCATTCAATTACAGACGAAGGAGTCAGTATTTCTTTCGTAATCCCAGTCGCTGGACAAGAAGGAACATTTATGATTGGCATGGGCCAGTCCGTTGGCACGATTGAATGGGACGGCCAAGACGGAACTGCTTTGAATTTCACCCCGCTTACTAATGTGGAGGAGCAGGCGGGGAACAGGTTCAATGATGGAAAGTGTGACCGAAATGGCCGACTATGGACAGGTAAACATACAGGGAATAGGAATAAAAGTCAGTACTGCGTGCTGACCACTGAGTACTCGTGGGAGCATGCAGAGGCCCTCTCACTGGCATTATCCTTCTTAGCTTTGCAGCCACCGCGGGCTCTCTATGATCGCTTGTTCCCGTTTGAAATAATTTACCGAATTTTTTTTTTACATTTTTTACTTCAAGGGACAATGGGTTATTTTAACGAAAACGGACAAATCTCCATGAATTCGTCAAACCTATACAGACTTGATTCAGACTCATTAGAAGTTCAAGTAGAATACGTTACCTTGTCGAATGGAATGGCCTGGTCTAGTGATGACAAACTTTTCTACTACATCGACACATGGAGTCTCCGCGTCGACGTCTTTGATTACGACATCGACTCTGCAACTATTTGTGAGTTTTCTGAATCAAAGAAAGCATAGCTGAAACTACCTTGTATGATATCCTCTTGCAATTTTGCCTCATGCATTCTGCTGTGAGGAGTTTTTCGAAAAGACTCATAAAATTGTAAAAACAATGCCGTCTTAAAAATATTTTAGATTACCCGAAAACAATCATATTAAGATATTCATGTCATTGCAGCAAATCGAAGAACACTGTTTGATCTGGTTGAGAACGGCTTTGAGGGAAGCCCAGACGGGATGACGATCGACGTTGACGGGAACCTGTGGGTAGCGTTGTACAATGGGAATGGAGTGGTGAAGGTCAACGGAGTCACTGGAGCTCCTGAGGGTTTCATTCGTTTGCCTGTGCCAAAAGCAACATCCTGTGCTTGGGGTGGAGCAGATCTAGACGTGCTCTATGTGTCCACTGCTGCAGAGGGAGCTGACCTGTCCGAATTCCCCCTTAGTGGATCCATGTTTAAGGTAGAAGAGAAGAGAATTATTTTTATTTCATTATTGTATTTTAAATCATAACATTTTTATTCGTTGCATGAAGGTCAACGGACTTTCCACTCGGGGCTTCCCAAGTGTACCAGTCCAAATTGATATCCTTTAAGACATCGCAGGCAGAAAATTTCTGGCCACTATTAGGCATGATTGGTCGTTCTGCTGATGATGCTGTATGATGCCGTTTCCTCAAATTTGCGCCTTGCCCATGCATGCTTACATCTTCAATGCAAAAAAATGTTGGAAATTAAATGCAAATCAGAAAAAGTACATTGATTTTTCAGGAAATGCATATTGTTCAGACATTCAAATGTTTTGAAAGATTCCTAAACCCAGCAAATAATCTGCTGTTTTCCAACCAGGCCCAAAGACACAGGCATGAATCACTCATATCTCACTCAAATTCCATGGCTGGATGGATATGGGTGATTCTTATTAATATGGGGGATTTTATGGCAGCTAGGCATGTATGAAATGCATGTTGCAACCATCATGTCACACCCATGATGAATGTGTGCAGCAGATATTGGTTTTTTTTTAGCAAGCTCAAATCCTCAGAATGTGCTGGGGAAAAATGTCCAGGAACTGCACAGGATGAGGAACATGGAGTGGGGCATAAAGAAAAAGAGTGGCATGGTGCATTTAAACAGGCGCATCATATAAATAGCCCATGACGGAAATGGTGCTTTCATTGAAGAAATAAATGGTGCGACATGAAAAGATGGAGCCTTTAACAAATGAACATATAGTGTGGCGTGAAGGAACAGCATGATGTTTTGTTCTAGCCAGAATCTTGAAAAAATTATATTTATTTATATTCTGTACAAATGTTTTTGTAAGGGTTGGAATTTTTGTTAAGCCATGGAATTCAGGCCTTCATCGTTAAAATAAAGCAATTTAGTGAAAATATTTGTGTGTTAACATATTTCTAATGTAGAATTCTATCCAGAGCCAAATTATTATGAGTCAAATTGTCTTTCACAAAAGCCCAGTTTCCCTCAATCTACACAAACCGTCTTCATAAAAAAATGAGGAATTTCTTCTTTAGATTCCACAGAAGTGAATGGTGAAACATGCAAAAATATTGCCTTTAACAAGTAGACATAGCATGGTATGAAATAACAGGGCAATTTTTTGCTCTAGCCAGAACCTTAAAAAAATTATGCATACTCCTATTCTCTACTAATGCTTTGGTAGGATTTAGAATTTTTGGCCAGGAAAGTTGGGTCTTCATCGTTACAAAAAGTGATAAGTAAAAATAAATTTGTGCTGTTTTAATTTATTATATTGAATTTTATTCAGTACAAAATTATGAGTCAACTTCAGTCTTTCACAAAAGCCCTGTTTCCAAATTCAATCTACAGAAACCATCTTCAAAAAAGTTGAGGAATTTCTTCTGTGTATATATTTTAAATGCTAGTGATATAGAAGTAAACCAGAGCAACATGAAAAGATAGCATATACGGTATAATGCTTACATAGCACATTACCAAATCATGGCACTACATGACAAGGTACAATGGTGCTACATGAAGAGGTAGCACACAGAACAATGCAACAGGGTGGTGATATATGTATATCATTGTACACCTCACCATGAAAATAGCAGTGCTATAGAACAGGGCTTTTCAACAATTTTCAGGCGTGTACCCCTTTTCATTCTCAGGAACAGGCACGTACCCCTAGTGAGTTAATATGTAGGTGTAAATCATATAATAAACCATGTCTTTGGAATTTTAATAAAAATTCTCATTTCATTCAAAATCAAATGTAATCCCTTACTTTTTAAATTAATAATCATCTACTTGAATAAATGTGGTTATACTCTTGATGATGAGAAATTTCAGACTTTCTGGATCCAGAAAAACAACTAATCACAATTCATTTTGAAAGAAAATTATCTGTTTTTTGGAATATGAAATGGCATAATTTCAGGAGAAATCTGAAGATTTCCATGAATTTTTAGTAATATCAAAAATCAAAATTAGAAATTTCTAACCTGATATATTGGCATCAAAATATAATTTGTTTTCTTTTCATATGCAAAAATTTTTGCATTTTGAATTACCCAGAAAGCTGCATGGCAAGCTTGAAGAACAAATTTTCAATTTTCACCAAAGCACATATATTAGGAATATTCAGAATTTGTGGACAACCTTTTGGGCTTCGAGAAGGATTGTCCACAAATTTTGATCATCAGTCTGGTGCATCCCCATTTACCTTCATGCATCACTTATTCTGGATTTTTGCAGGTGTGTTTTTAAGGAAAACAATGAGGCCTCTTTTCTAAATTAGGAAATCATTATTTCAATGCAGTAAAATTTCCATACTACAGTTGTGGCAATGAGTGGGTTCAGCCAACAAAACTTGAAATTCAGGAAAAAATCAAGCCACAGAATTTCCTGCAGCAGTGATTACACTTATTGACATATGCAAACCACAATGTTGTCTGTAGTATTGGCACCAAAAAATGCAGCAGAACTGCAAAAATGTCCTCCCAGATGAATATAAAAAACTGCTGGGAATTTTTTACATTACTTTTGAACTATGCTTATCAAGAACCAACACTTTTACTCAAAATGTTCAATTTAATCCTTGTGTGGAGGCAGCCTCCTTTCCACCCCAGGGCAAAGTTGGACTTTTTCCCCTTGGGACTGCATAACATTTTTGCACAAGGTTATGCAACCCCAGCTGCCAGGTGGGGAAGGGCAGAGGTGGATTTTTTCTGGAGATAAAGAAATGCTGGGAAAGTTCTAAGTTAGACTTTTTCCATATTGACCTCTAAGGTTGGCTCCTGGCTTTCAAGTTTAAATTTAATCTTTGAATTGGGGAGCAACACAAGACCAGGGGAAAAAAGGGTGCCTTGAAGATTCCATTTTTTTCATTTCCAAGTTAAATTTTTCTGTAGGGAATTTTAAACCTGCCAGGATTTTTCCTGACTTTGCCCTGCACACTCTGTCATGCTTTTTTTAATGCCATTCTTGAGTGCAGCCAAAATCTGCAAAAAAAGGTCCAACTTTGCTGCAGAGGGGTTAAAAGGGGAGACTAGGGATAAGTATGCATGCTACTCTTTCCCTTGGATGGATGGAACCTTTGCTGCCATATTGGGGACTGTGGGGAACCTATCTAATGTTCAGATCATCCAAATTAGCAGTATATGGCATTTTACTTCCACCATCCAAGCAATTTTTGGATTCCCTGACAACTTACAGAGGGCCACAAGTCACTCATCAACAACTTGCCAAAGGCAAAAAGTCCCACCTTTCATTTTAATTTTTTTTAAATTTCGCATAGGAAAATGTGTAATGTTTTGCTTACATTCCCCTCACTCCAACACTGATTGTATTGTATTTTTGTCTTAATTTTTATATCTGCAAAAAAGGGATTGCATTCTTCTCAACAGATCAACAGTTGAACAGTGTGCCATTTTTTCTGACAAACATGAAAATTTTCTTTTAAAAAATATTGGATTAAAAGAAAGGGAGTGCAATTGTGCATCTTCTCTGCAATGGACAAGGAGGAAAAACTCTACATTTCAATTATTAATCCCTCACTGTGCTATTCAATTTTTAAATTATTCCCTGAAATATGATGCTGATGATTCATGTCTGCCCTTTCTTTAAATTGAAGAACTGTTTTCAAATAATGTTCTTCAGAATATGAAAGGACACTGTTCAACTTTTCATCTGCTGAAAAGAAAACAGGCACAATTTTTTCAATGGAAAAGAGAAGCCCAAAAATACAATGCACATAATTTTTGACAAAAGGCAATCTGGGCAAAATAAATCACATTTCCCAGAGCTACAACTTTATGAGAATAGAAATAATAAAAAAAAAAATTTGAGTTGTCATCTTTGGGAAGTTGTTGCTGACTATGCTCAGTGAGGTGGCCCATAACCTTTTTTTTTAGTGGACAGAGGGCGCGTACCCCTTGGCAAGCACTCGCGTACCCCCTGGGGTACGCGTACCACCGGTTGAAAAGCCCTGCTATAGAATAGTGCTGCATACAGTGATGTACACAGCACTGCAGAAACAGCACAGCAATACATACAACATTGTATGCAGTGCAGCAAGAATAGCATGGCATTGCATACAATGCTGTACTCAGTGCCACATAAAACAGCGCAGAGCTACATACAGTGATGTGTGCAAATTGAATTGTCCCTGCAATATACTGGGTTTGGCTTGGCCTTATTGGTTATCCACATTTCTTTTTGCATGACATGGCTGTACAGTTGTGCAGCCACACCATACAAAAACTGCATCATTGATTTTGCACAAGTTTTTGCATGGTACAAAATCTGCACAATCGACAGCATAAAAAATAGCTGTTTTCATGCAGTTCTGCATACATCACTGTATGTAGCTCTGCACTGTTTTATGTGGTGCTGAGTACAGCATTTTTGTTTCCTGATGGGAAGGAACCAGGAGGCTCTGCTTCACAATTTGTATAGCCATGCTGCTCTATTTATAGATTGATCAGCATTGAAAAATGGCGCGGTGCGATAAGGGTCCAAACAGCGCAGGGAAATGGTGTGGTGTTTTGGGGGTTCCATTTGATCCGGTTCACAAGGCAACCTATAAAATGGAAGTGCTTTGGAATATAAGGAAGAGGAGAGTACTGTATTGGCTTGCACATTTGGACTGGCCAAACAGAAAACGAAATTTTATGAAGATGATCCCGGAAGTAAACAATCTTCCGTTGTCTGAAGATTACAGTAGGTTTAGGATAAAAAAACTATCTTGCAGATAATTTACAGTAAATGAAGATTTCGGAAGAAGGCACGAGTCTAGCGTCACTGATCATTGCTTTCTCAAACCAAATAAATTGACAAGCTGCAGAACTGAACAATACAGCATTTTCCCAAAAACGTGCGTCACTCACATGCTCTCTAACAGCTGACAATGGTAGTGGAATGAACGTATTTTCTAGAATAAGGTTATTCGCGCCCGAGTCAGATTCCCATGTCAGCCGCGTGCAAAAAAACCTTCACTTTTTCCGCAACGCACATGGATGGTTCCATAAAAAACGTTCAGCTGCTTGGATAATAATTTCAACTGCAACTCCGGGATTTGAAGCTTGTGAGGCACTGAGGCTCGGACAGTGCAGGCACACAGAAGATTGTCTTTGAAAGAGGACAAACGAAGTGTCATAGCTTGTACCCAAATAAACTCATTTTTACTTCATCTTGCTTTATAGAACCCTCGCGGACGAAAACCAACAATTTCGAATCGGGGCTGGAACAGAGATTCAGTAGAGAAAATGTACCACTTGAGGGTTTTGTACCAAAAAAAAAAAAAAATCAGCGCA